CCCCCCCCCGGCCCAGTGGAAAGGAAGACTTCGGGGGACCAGCCCAGACCTTAAAAAGGTTGCCTACCCCTGCACAAGAGTATTTCACTTTGAGTGAGGGAAAAGAATGAAAGGATGAACAGATTAGAACCAACTTTACAAACTTTGTTCCGTCCAAAGGAGAAATGGGGCTGAGGGAGGAAACTTCGGGCCTAAGCAGACTGCCAGAAATAGTGCACATTAAATTGAGGCACTGCCCTGGCTCAGTGCTAGGGAATTATGGGAACTGTAATTTATTGTGGCACCAGAGCTCTCTGACAGAGAAGGTTCAGTGTCTCAGAAAAAAATACAATTCCCATGACTCCCTAGCACTGAGCCAGGGCAGTGCTTCAATTTAATGTGCACTATTTCTGGCAGTCTGCTAGCCTTAGGCCCTTCAATTTCATTCTCCTTTGAATTCATTCTCCCACTAAACATCACTAAAACCTACCTAAGAGATACTGCAGCAAAGCTGTACAGCTATGCAACAGATTTTTCTCCTCAGATGATATGAATTTTGAACTTATGCAGCTGTTCACAGCTGTGTATGGGCAATGAAAATTGACATCCTTGCCAGATTTAAATAGCTGACCATCCTGCTATTCCTAGCCTTGTCCTTGGGCAGGGAGAGCCAGGAATGAGAGGCCTCTCATCCCTATTCACCCAAAGCCTCTCCTTCCCCTCCTGCCCAAAGGGAAGGCAGGGAAGCAAACTTGCTGAACGGGTTCTGTTGGAAGAGCGTGCGTGCCACTTGTCCACACAGAAGTTGTCAGCATTTGGACACTGAGAGCAGCCAAAAAGGAGCCATGAAACAGGTCCAGCAAACATACCAGAGTATAGACTCATAAATCACATGAGGACTGCGGCCTGGAGAAGGTGTCACAAACCGCATGAATGAATTGGACATTGCCAAATGGCAGAGACTCCAGAACTGTTCTTAAGCTGGTTAGGGGAGATCAGCATTGGTCGGCAGATTTTTTTTTGCTTGTACTTGCCCGGGTAAAGCAAATTACTTTTCCTATCCGTTACTTTTAAAACCCTTAAATATGAAGATTCTTGCAAACAGAATGTTGACTTAGAAGTCCCCTCTGTGTCTTCCATGTAGCTTACTCCCAAGTAAGTGTGCATAGAACAAATTGGTGTTGTTTTTAATGTGCCTTCAAGTTGTTTTACACTTATTTACACTGTTTTACACTTGACTCTAAGGCAGACCTTTCACAGGGTTTTTTGTGACTGAGAGTGTGTGACTCGCCCAAGATCACCCAGTCGATTTCTATGGACAAGTGAGGATTTGAACCCTGGTCTCCAGAGTTGCAGTCCAATGCTCAAACTACTACACCACACTGGCTCATAGAACAGATTACAGTCAGGCTTTGTTATTCCTGGGAAAGGAATATCTGTCTCAGTGTTTCTTAGTGCTTGATCATTCAGTACCCTTCTGATTGATAATTTCTGTGGATGTCCGACTACATATAAATCTTGGTGGTTAAGTTGTAGGGGGCTCAGCCTTTGCAGTCTAGTCTTGAGGAGGGTGTCAAGCCACTTCTGCTCTCCCCCTTGTTCTGGGGTTCGTGAGAAATCAGTTCTTTGCTGTTGTGTGCGTTTAAGTTGTTTTTGGCTTATGGCATCTGAAGGCAAACCTATCATGGGGTTTTCTTGACAAAATTTGTTCAGAGGAGGTATGTCATTGCCTTTCCCTGAGGCTGAGAGAGTGTGACTCACCCAGGGTCACCCAGTGGGTTTCATGGCTGAGCTGGGAATCAAACCTTGGTCTCCAGAGTCATAGTCCAACACTCAAACCATTACACCACACTGGCTCTCTAACCAGTCCTTATACTCAAAAAGTTTCCCATCTAGTCAGTCAGACTGCAGAACAGAAGGCAGACCTCTGTAACTGTAGAATATGACATAGTCAATCATTCCCTCCTACCCCCCACCCTATGTCTCATCAGTGGGATATCAATGGATCAAAAGCTTCTTTGGCAATGGTGATGCTCTTTGTATTCTTCAGCAACTATTAGTTGGAGCCCCAGTTGGTTTGGGGAATCCCAGTGCTTCCATAAGATACCCTTGGGGTGATGCCATCGCCCATGTATTGGCAGCAAAGGGGGGAATCACTAACTTGTCATTCTAGAACAGGGTTTCCCAAACTACGGGCCCGGCCCCGGCCCGTTGAGGCCTTCTTACCTGCCCGTGGCTGGTCCTGCCGCTGCCGCTACCGCTGCCACCGCCACTCACACGTGCTGCCGAACACCATTTTGTCTTCCAAAATGGCGCCCGGAGTTGTGCACATGTGCCCGGTGTTGCACGCGCAGGCGCACGACTCCAAGTGCCATTTTGGAATACAAAATGGAGCTCAGCATCGCGCGTGCATGCGCACAACTCGGGCGCCATTTTGTTTTCCCAAATGGCGCCTGGAGTCATGCGCATGCACATGCAACACCTGGCGCATGTGCACGACTCCAGGCGCCATTTTGGAAAACAAAATGGTGCCCGAGTCGTGCGCATGTGCGTGCCTCCAGCCTCTCGGAGATCTGGGGTCCAGCGAACCGGCCCCCAGATCAAAAAGTTTGGGGACCCCTGTTCTAAAAGGTTTCCCGCATTTTTAAACCTCAATATGGAGCAGACAAATTGTGGGGAGTAGGATGGAGGTGAGGTTTGAGCCCCCAACCAGTGCACTGTGGGCTTGATCCAGATTGGGGCCCTGTATGCTCATTGGTGAAGGTTTATTAAAAGAGAGAGAGAGAGAGATCAAGGTTCACACAATGTATTTAATGTAATTTGTAGTTTGACTTTTATAATAACGGCATGACTAAGAATAAATGCCTGCTTCTCCTCCTCCTCCTCCTCCTCTTCTTCCTTCCTTCCTTCCTTCCTTCCTTCCCCCCTCCTCCTCCATCCTTTTTTTTTTCTGTTGTATCTTTTAAATTGTAAGCCTGTGGCAGCATTTTGTTGGTGATCTGAGCAAGTTCTTCTTTGAGTCATTATCTCCTGAAGAGTGGGGCAAAAACTATAAAAGTACTCATGCTGCCACTAATATGCAAAAAGATCTTGTAGCATCCTGAAAGAGGCTCTGCCTCTCAAAGGTGCTACAAGATCCTTTTGCATACTGATTTTTCAGACTAACACTGCTATATCTTTGAATGTTGCCACTAATAATAATGCATGTGAAATGGGTCTATGGTTAAGGAGGGCTTTTTCTGGTGGCTATGCTTAAGCCTTCCTGCCATCAGTGGCCAGGGAGATCTCTGCATACCACAGTGCTTTCAGACCTCAGTTCTGAAATTTGCAGGGCAGGGAGGTTTTGGGAATAATGGTAGTGGTGAGGATTATGATGATTTTAGTTCCTCTGAGCATGTGTTGAGTGCTTTTTCATTAGAAGCCTGCATCCCTGGCTCAAGCAAACAGGGTTAGGCCTTAAAACTTCAAAGACAAAAAATGACAGGATGACAGACTTTCAGCTAGATATTCAAGATTTTCAAGGCAAGCAACAGATTGCCACCGTTTCATTTAGAGAATGCATCAGAGAGCAGCATACAGAGTTGCATACCCAACTGGTGAGGAGCTTTCTTTCTCACCCACCCAACAATTCAGTACACAAGGAGGAATGTTTCGTTCCAGCAGATGGGGAAAGTCCAGTCCACACCCATGCTGTGCAGGGAGAAGATAAGGCTGCTGTATCCGCTTCTTCCCTCCTCACGGTTGTCAATCAACACAAGACAGTGGCTCATCCCATGGCCTCATCTTGGCAGGGCTTCTGTGCACTGAAGGCTCTCAAAATGGCTTCTGTCAAGCTTAGACTACAATGAAGTTTCCAACTGACACATAAAACATCAAACCAGGAGCAGAAATGTTGAATGCTACTTTTTGGACTGCAACCCCCAGAATCCCCAAGTCAGCCCAGTCACTAGCTAGCAATTCTGGGGACTGTACTCCAAAAGCTATAGAATCATAGAATCACAGAATGATAGAGTTGGAAGAGACACAAGAGCCATCCAGTCCAACTCCATTCTGCCATGCAGGAACTCATAATCAAAGCATCCCTGACAGATGACCATCCAACCTCTGTTTAAAAACCTCCATAGAAGTAGACTCCACCACACCCTAAGGGAGTGTGTTCCACTGTTGAACAGCTTTTACTGTCAGGAAGTTCTTCCTAATGTTTATAAGGAATTTCTTTTCCTTTAGTTTCAATCCATTGATCCGGGTCCTGTTCTCTGGAGCAGTAGAAAGCAAACTTGTTCGATCTTCAGTATGACATCATTTCAGATATTTAAGCAAGGCTATCATAAAATCTCTTAACCTTTTCTCCTCCAGGCTAAACATACCTAGCTCCCAATTCGCTCCTCATAAGGCATGGTTTCCAGACCCTTCACCATTTTAGTCAATCTCCTCTGGACACTCTCCAGCTTCTCAACTTCTTTTTTGAATTGTAGTGCCCAGAACTGGACACAGTATTCCAGAGGACTGACCAAAGCAGAATAGAGTGGCACTATTACTTCCCTCGATCTAGACACTATACTTCTATTGATGCAGCCTAGAATCACATTGGCTTTTTTAGCTGCGGCATTGCACTGTTGATTCCTGTTCAACTTATGGTTTGCTAGGACTCCTAGATCCCTTTCACATGTACTGTTGTCAAGCCAGATGTTCCATATCCTATATCTATGCATTTCATTTTTACTGCCCAAGTGTAGTACATTTCCTCCTGTTGAAATTCATTTTGTTAGTTTTGGCCCAGCTTTTCCAAACTCTGAAACAAGCCCTTATCCTGTCATCATCAGCATAACTCAGGCTGAATGCATCTGGCTAGTGCCCTGTCTGAACTGGAAGCAGGGTGAGTGAGATACTAAGAAATCTGGATGGTGGGAAGATAAGCTAAGGCAATCAGTCCACAGGTATCTGGATTTTCTGGGTGTGACTAGAGGGGAGATCTCAACCCCACATCAGATGAATTGCAGCTGTCTTGGCAAATATTCCACGTGACAAATGTGAAAGTACATAAATAATGCTTCATACCTGAAAATTTTCAGGATGGCCTACAAAGTCTCCTATTTGTCCTGGTGTGCATGTATATGTACATGTATGCTTTGAAAATATGCAAACCCCATTTTTCATAAGGGACATTTCTCCATAGTTAGAGGCAGGCAGTCTGCTTATGCTCAGAGAACATGTCTTTGACATCCTGTTTTGAAGTTCAGTCAGTCAAAGTGTAGAAACTGTCCATACTGGAAAATCAAACTTTCCCACTCAAAAACATACCAGCCCAAGGAATGTTATGTGTGTTTGTGTTGTGCACAAACACACACTTTTCCTTTCAACTACAAAATAATGACTGACAACCAGGATAAGATGCATGCAGCCATGTGTTATCTCTAGCCCTGTCCAGTCTTAGAGTGTACCTACACTGTACCATTTATAATCATCATCATCATCATCATCATCAT